ATGTGCACAGAGGGAAGTATTGATAAATAAATATATATATATAAAATAATATATACAGCATTGTGGAATGAGATATATTTTTCGCACTTATCAAAGTTTGCAGTCCTGCTTTGAGGTGGGCACAGGTTTAAGGACAGAGTCTGTGTAAAGCAATCCTTCCACTCGGAGCATATATTCTGAAGATTTTAGGCAGAATTTAACTGTATGTAGTGACTCAGCCCTTGGGATTGGGTACTTATATATAATACTTTATCATCTAGGTTCTTGACGTTCACATCTGGCTTGAGCCTGGGAACCTATGAAAAACGGGACAGGTCTGCTGTTATTATGGACCTTGATCCATCTGGTCTGCATCTAGCAGTGATGTAATTTACTTACATAAACGTCTAGCTTCTGAAAGATCCCAAGCGGCATGGAACAGTGCCCTCTACTGGTCATGAGGGAAACATGCAGCCATGATCAAATCTTAAGGAAGCCCGCGGTTCCAACAGCCACAGTAAGCTGCTCAGTTGTCTGTAATGATCAAGGAACTGCTTGGAAGGTCAGCTGCTGGCAACTACAGCCAGTCTCAGTTGTAAATATTCACCAGGAGAAGCAAGACAGCCAGCCAACAGCAGCTTACCTCCCTTACAATTGCATATAGGCAGGCTCTGACCCCATGCTACATATGAATGTTCCCTTCCCAGTTTTCACTGCAAACACAGAAAAGCTGCTATTAGTTTTGCTCCTTACCAGAAAGATTTTTTTTTTTAGAGATGAGGGTCTTGCATATTGCCCAGTCTGGCCTTGAACTCCCGGGCTCAAGTGAGCCTCCTGCCTCAGCCTCCTGAATAGCTGGGACTACAAAGCGCATAGCCAGCATGCCTGGCTATAAAGACTTTTTAAAAACAGTGATGCCAACCATTGAAATTTGCCTTTAAAAGATCTCTGGTTTCGAGTACTATAAAATTAAAAATTGTAAACTACTTTAAGGAAGCACAGTTTATAGCTGTGATGAAATAAAAGCATATAAAGCAGCAGCAGTTTATTGTCAAAAGTTTTTTTATTTTATTTTATTTTTGAGAGAGAGTCTTGCTCTGTTGCCTGGCTAGAGTGCCATGGCATCATCATAGCTCACTGTAACCTCAAACTCCTGAGCTCAATCCTCCTGCCTCAGCCTCCTGAGAAGCTGCGACTACAGGTGTGCACCACCACACCCAGATAATTTTTTCTATTTTTTAGTTGCTCAGCTAATTTCTTTCTATTTTTAGTAGAGATGGAGTCTCGCTCTTGCTAAGGCTGGTCTCGAACTCCTGACCTCAAGTAATCCTCCGGCCTCAGCCTTCTAGAGTGCTAACATTACAGGTGTGAGCCACCATGCTCAGCCTATTGTCAAAAGTTAACACTGGCAAGGGATCAACCTTTCTTTTTCTTTTCTTCTTCTTTTAAAAATAAAACCATTTAAAATTCCACAGAATCTCCTTCTACAGTAATAATGTTACATAGTGAAAACCATTTTGCTGGCTTTCTCTGCCTTCTGGGACCGCTTTTTTTTTTTTTTTTGCTGGCTCTCTTTACCTTCTGAGCAGACATCTGTGATTTGTATTCGCACCCTCAGCAACTATATTCTGGGCGTGACTCCAAAGAATGCAATCAACATTTACCTTTACTTTAAACAACAGAAAGGGGAATCCTGTAGCTTTTAATCTGGCATTTTAGATTGGAGTCCTCTACAATCACTTTTGAACTGTTCTTAGCATTATTCCACTTAGCTACAGCAGAGAAAATATAGTGATGAATAATGAAATATTCATGAAAGGAAAAAAATTTTAAAGTTTTCTTAAAATAAATGATTCTAAAACCACAATGTGTGAAAGTACTTTTTTTTTTTTTTTAAATGATTCTGAGTTTCAAATTCATGAGTTTGGAGGGTGTGGATTTCTTGCTCTATCCTGTGGCAGGATGCTGATAAAATGGGAGGCTGCTGCATCTCATCTTTCTTTTCTGCCAAGAATGGAGTCCAGTTTGATGCTGCACTGGCCGCCCAGTGGAACAAACTGCCAGGTTCCATTGAATCGTAGAGGTCCACTGCCATTCAGCGTAGGAAGAAATGGTGTGAAAAACGCAGACCTTTATTGGAAACCCTCAAGGCATTGACGTGGTGTTGGGTATTCCCATTTAGGGTGACAGGGTCATGAGTAAATATCTCAGAGTTCTTTGTATTATCAGAATATGGGTGTTTGTGCATTAGAGTTTGATTTACTCTGAAGCCAGGTGTTATATTTACCAATTCCAGACAATTTGACAGATTAAGAAAGTTGTTCAATTGTTTTGGAACTTGTATTTGGTTACTTCCATTTGAGATATTCCCCTAGGACAGAAGATGCATTTAGTCTTTCAGTAAAGAATGGATTTGCTAATATGTGGTCAGCTTATTTTGTATGTGGCATGTCATTTTTCTCTAAGTCTAGCATGATCCATCTATCTGATGTCACCTTCTGTTGCACATAGACATGGGGAATTATTCCCTCCTTTAGTTTTCTATTGTAGGACTTAGCATGTACGCATGTGATATATCCGTCTCCCCTTCCGACCTTCTTGAGAACCGATATTATGTCTTCTTCATCTTTATATCCCCAAAACTACAGTACTAGGGATTTAACAAATGTTCTTTCTCCTTCCTTTCCCGTCTCCCCTCAAATTGTGAGCAATGTGAGCTCATCATTCTGAGAAATAATTATTTTGAAATGGAGAAGGCCTACACAGGCCAGTTGTTAGCAGATTAGAAAACCCACTTCTGAGCATAGAAATGAATGGTGGCTCTAACACTGCCTTTTAGTAAACCAATGTTCTTCTTCTCCAGGCACGGAAGTTCCAAAAGAGTGTGGAAAATTACCTGGAAGGAAAAGTGTGAGCCTTGGACCCTTCTTTGGGGGATATCATTGCGCCCTTTGAGTTTGAGGGTTGAGTCTTCAGAAGAAAAGACTCCTGTCCTCTGGAGGGGTGGATCTCCAGGGTGCAGCTGCCTTCCTGGACTGAAGGGCATCCTAGGCAGGCAGAAACTGGAATTGAACTTGATCCTCCAGGAATCTGACTCTGCAGTTAGCACTGAAGAATGGGGTCCACCCACCTCAGCAAATACACAGGGTGAACAGGTCCCGAACTACATTAAGGTAACCATATGCCCTGCTTTTCTAAAACAATCCTGTCTGATTTCTCTTGTCCGGGCATAATTATTAATAGTGTTCCTTTCTGGTCGGGCGCGGTGGCTCACGCCTGTAATCCTAGCACTCTGGGAGGCCGAGGCGGGCGGATTGTTTGAGCTCAGGAGTTCAAGATCAGCCTGAGCAAGAGCGAGACCCCGTCTCTACCAAAAATAAAAAGAAATTAATTG